ATTTTTTCAAAAAATCGGAACTGAGCATTAAGACCTGCAGTGTGAACGTAGCCATAGATTAATACTTCTTAAGAAAAAAAACTTACTGCCTAATGTAAAACAGCTGCAAAGAAGTCCAAAGCAACAACAAACTGTAAACGACTAAAGAGATCCAGACCATAAACAAACAAAAAACAAAACAAAAACAACAACAACAACAACAACAACAAAAAAAAAGGCAAAATAAGCACAAAAATGCTAAATAATGATTTACAAAAATAAACATCAAAAGACTGGAAAATGACACCAAGAAATGGAACATACAAAGCAATGCAAATCATGGCAAATCACCAGACAGTTTGCATCACATTTTACTCCGTATGTTGGCTCGGTGGAGTTCCTCTGATGATTTGTGCATTTGTTACATTTTCAGTCCATAATTTGGATTCAACACTGTCTCATTTAAACTTCAACTTATCTTATTCACGTTACTTTTAAAGCCCCAAAATACTTCAATTACCAACTCCAGGCACACAAATAAGTAGTCTGAATGTTTGCGTGTTTATTCAGAAACCTGCATCTTGTTTTGTAGGAGGCAGTCTACAGAAGAAAACGATCTGTTTCCTACTAAACACCAGGCCAAGTCATGAGGCCAGTAAATCATACAATTAGATTATCCTAAACTCGATGCAGACCTCAGGAAAATCAGCTGAAAGGTCCCGTCAGGTTTCTTACTACCCGCTAAAGTAACTGTTTCACTCAGTACTCTATGGCAGTGATTTAATATTTTAAGTCTCATTTTCACAGATGAATGCTTTTACAGACGGAACCTGCCGTCCTCATGTTTGACTGAAAGCTTCGTATTAATTAATGATCACTTCCTGGTTTAGTTTATAATTTATTAACAGAATGGGCCAAAAAGGTCAGTCTTTCTTTCATTAGATTCAGTTTTATTTCTTCTTTTTGTTATATTCGCAGTAGGTTATTGAGTCCTTTAGTTCTTCTGCCTGTTTTTTTATACTGTAAAAGTCTGATTGAAGTCTGTTTTCTCACTTTATTGCTCCTAATCTTTACAAAAATCAGAGCTTGGAAAGGTGATCTCCAAATTCACAGCTTCAAATTATTTCTGTTTCTGCTACTTTCAGAATCTTCCTAACTTTGTGTCTTGACACAATTATCCACCAGAATTTAATTAATCCATTTCTCCTGCCTTATTCCATAACATTTGTGACAGTTTAAAAGAAAAGCATTAACTTTAAATTATTTGGATTTAGTTAGCCAAAGAAGAACTCCAGCGAAGTTGAGGAGGCGTGAGAAGAAGAACAAACGACAAAAGGTTTGAATTAATATTTACAGTAAAATAATTTTTGATTAAATAATTTAATGTTTCATTTTTTGAAAGCAGTGAGCATGACGTGTTAGAGCTAAAATATGGCCACTTTCACATGTGTAAGTAATTGCAGACATATTGTATTTAGTCATGCCCAAGAGAAAAACATGCAGCCCTCCACTGGTGAACTTCTCAAGCAAAGCTCTGTTGGCTGTCAGGAAACTATGCTGCTGACAATATCCCCAATTACAGAACACGCACAAAAATAAATAAATAAAAATAAAATCATCGATTTATCAGCACATTCTAAAATAAATGATTTCTATCCAATAACTTTCTCCTGACTTTGGGTTCTTTAGAGCATGGTAAAGCTTTCAGAATAAAGGAATAAAACTACATCTGACCCATTTTACTTTGACGCTGCTGGTCTGGATTAGCAGAAAGGCAGTGCAGTTATAAACACACTTGTGTTCTTACACTTTGGTTAACTTTAGTGGTGCTGGTAGGTGGATGTTGTTTCGTTTAGCTGATGAACTGTGAAGTGAGCTCAGGCTGATTTTATTGCTCTTTTTTATGTTCGGCTCTATAACTGAAAGTGAGCGCTACCTTCAATTATAGGTCCAAGCAAAAAGTATATTAAAACCTTTTCTGTAATAAAAATACAATAAAAGACCACAAATTTCAAAATAAAACCAATATCTAGGGCAGTGGTTCTTAACCTTTTTTGAGGTACCGAACCCACCAGTTTCGTATGCGCATTCACTGAACCTTTTTTAGTGATAAATAAAATATGATTTTTTTTTCCCAAATTCAAGACATAGGTATATGTTTTTTTTAAACTGGTGTATAAAATGAGCCGTGCATTAACATCACCTTGCTCAAAGAACAAAACCAACACAGTGCGTGAACTCACAACAAATTACAATATGACTTTATTCTGGCCCCAAAAAAATAATTTGCCCACATAAAAAAAATTCAGCCCCCAAAAAATAATTTTTACTATTTTACTAATAAAAAATAAATTGGGATTTTTTTGAAGAATTTAACATTTTTAATATAACTTTTTTATTCATTTATTTTAAAGTTAATTTGTTTTTTGTCRTTTTGAATCCACAAAATACTTTTTTGGGGGCCAGCACTGATTGGCCAAGCAATCTCACGTGATCCTCTGCAGCAACTGATGGCCAAGCGGGGCRTGKCATCATGACTTGACACAAATGTGTCTTTACCTTCACAGCAAAGGCTCCACCAAATCCCTGAGACCGGCTTGTCAAACCCCTAGGGTTCAATCGAACCCAGGTTAAGAACCACTGATCTGGGGGAATGAAGCTGGAAAGAATGGATTTCAACATACTATCACATACAGTACACCTCTAATGTTAACTTAAACAGCTGCTGATTTAGTGATTTCTTATATTTTATAATCCAAAACGTAAAAGTATTTTAGGTTCTAAATATTTTTAGTTATGAACTCAAAGCAGTGAAAGGATACTGGTGGTCCAGACGGTTCCACAGACCCCGTGTCGCATCTGGCCCCCCTGAAACATCCTGTGGACCACAAGAGAACCCATATTTGTTTTTGACACACAAAGACCCTCTGAACTGCTTTATGGAAACAGTAAAAACCTGTTCTACTGAAAGCTAACGACCACCCACCCCTCCCCACTCATACAGGAAATTCCTCATCTCAAAAACTGCCGTCTCAAGAGATTTACTCCCACTACATTAAGACCCTACCCCCAAATGTCCCAGCATGGACACATGGTAGTAAGTTTATATTGAACTGTTTACATAGTGAAGAGCCCTAAAGCTCAGTCCCAACCCCACTCAGTGCTAAACACATTCACAAATGTCCTCTGATTCAGAACATGCAGGTAAGACTCAGGTCAGAGAAGATGAAAGAGGAGCTGCTTGGCTGCAGTGATGGTGAGCTGGCAAAGATGTGGCACAGAGTGGCACTTAAAAAAAGCCAAGGTGTATTTCCTACTCTTGAACTTCTCTTCACTTTGATATTAGGTGGTGTAAGAAATAAAGAAGAGAAACAAGATTTAAGGAGCTAAACATGCTCTGTACTAAGAGAGAAACAGTGTAAGACCTTTGAATGTTTGAATGATACATCATAGTAAATCTTTATGGATGCCGTATTTGTACAATCTATTTTCTGGATAACTTGAATTTTTCTATCAAAAAAAAAGTTGCATACTCCAGCTTTATGTACGCTTAACTTCAGTGACACTTCCCTTCTAATCTCTTGACCAATTTGTTTTGTCAACATTTTTAAACACTTGGCGTACACAAAGCGAATCCTAAAACATATCTGAGGATTTTTTTCATTAAAGAGATGGTCAACAATTATGTATACAATAATATATTGTATATAATACAACTTAACCCTCCCACTAGTGGGGTAATATGGTCCCCACTCATGTAGGGTGTGGCGGTGGGGGGTTAGGTCGCCAGCAGCCGTGAATTTTACTTGCTAGTTTTGTTAGCTCTGAGCAAAGACAGCAGGAATCAAAACCTTTAGAATAAACTGCCTTTACATGCAAAAAAAAAATGATGAATAACATTTTTTACCTCAGAGGAATAATCTTGAAGATCCTCATCTGCCTCATCTTCTTCCACTCTGCTGTTAAAAAAATAAAAGTGCACAATTAACTTTGACTCATTACACCAAAAAAAAAAAAAAAGTAAAATCCCAAAGGGTTGGACTCTGTTTGGAAAGTCCGTCCTTCACAACACGAAACTCGGCAATCAAGGCTGAAAGTCAGCTTTTAACAGCGGCTCGATTTGAACTTGACCTTTCAAACACTTTCATCAGAATCAGCCTCATCTTCCACATCACAGCGAGAAAATGTCAGCTGGGGAAACATTTGATGAATGACAAAATGGGGCCGCAATTGTGCTTGATACGCTACATGGCTGCTGTGATTATCCTGTCGAGGTGCAGGACCCTTATGATGCAGCAGAACTGGGGGTTGGGGAAGACATTGGCTGCCCGCTTACTCTGAACTAAAATACAGAGTCTGAGTGGAAATGCAATTTCCAGTAAGCCCCATTCAAAATTACGACAGAGTATTAGGGCCACACAAGATTTTTTAAATTAATTTAAGTCATAATATTACAACTTTATTCTCATAATATTAGGTCTATTTGTTATATTATGACTTTAATCTCGTAATAAAAAAAACACTCGGAGTGTGACCCTAAATACTCTGTTGTACAAAATGAACTGTAACTGCAAAGAAAAAAATGAACCAAAAACAAAACCACCAACTAGAAGCACAACCATCGTGTTGTTGGTGTGAAATGTCTCACAAATCACAAGTAACAGAAAAAAGCAGTGAACGTGTGCTCCAAGAAGTCGGTGGTTAAAGCTACAGCATTGTGTTTTGTTGCTCAGGACACTTTGAGAAAAAAGCCCAATGTTGCCCATTACAGAGCCTTTTGCATGTGTTGACACAAAAGCCTTTTTTTTAGCCTCAGGCTTTTTCCAATAATAACTCTCCACATTGTCATCAGTGAAACAAAGTCCTGCATCTATTTAAATGTGCTCAGAGTTTCGTCTTGGCTGATTTCCCTCCACAATCCAACTCTTCATTTGCCTTGACTTTGCTTCAATTTCTCCCCCTCATATTATTGTTCCTCCTCCTGTTTTGCATCTCAGATTTCACTTTGCTTTCAGCGTGGGGCACACTGGAGCCTGTTCTGTGCCATGCAAATGCTGTCGTGTGAGAAACACCGAACTTGACTGTTTGTTATTCATTTGAACTTAAGTTTGAGGCACATTTCAACAAACCATCAATCCATCACCAAGGGCTTTTTGTTTCTACTACCTGTCCTTGTTCCATTTGATCAATTTACCCAGGTTTTTGTTTTGTCTTTTTTCTCCTGGCTTCTTGTTGAATCTGTATTTTTAAAAACGGTTTTAAAAATGATATATTTCAAAAATCACCCACTCCATGTTTCATTTAAGAACCAGCTTCCAACTTTAACTCTGTATGATAAATTAAGTCCATTTTTATTTTCTCCAAACCCGTTTTCACCTCTCAGATCACCCTTCCTGCCTTCATCTTACAGCTTTTTAATTTTACATCTTCTCTCCCTTCCTAATCTCGATTCATTCTTTGCTTATCCCACAGCTCTGTTCTTCTTTTCAGTAGAATAGTAAAAAAGGGGCTTGAAATTGTTGTTAAATTGCACAGCAATTTTGGTAAATAGTTGCTGAAGATCTGTCATTTTTCAGAAGCAGATTTTCTGGGTCAGTGCTGGAGCTGGTTGTTATGTTGCCGGGCAAATTGCTCTGGGATGTGGCAGGCTGTGACAGGCTCAAGCGGTCCGCCTTCAGCTGGAGGGATAGACTCCATTTTCAACAAGTCCTTCCACCAAGCTGATAGACAAGAGGAAAAAGGCCAGGCAAGGTGTGAAAAAAAGAGGAAACCAAAGCAAAAGAGAACAGACTGAGAGAAGTCTAGTTTTTTTTTTAGCATAATGGTGAATAATCTGCTGACTTGACAATGAAATAATGGGTTGCCACAAAGGCAGTGAATGTGAAAGATTGACTAGGAGACAAGGGAAGCCAGTTTGAGAGACATGGAGAAAAAGACATAAAAGAGACTAGAAGAAAGCAGCATTCTCTCTCATTGTCAGTGCAAGAGAGCAACAGAGACAACAAGGCAGGAAGGTGTTTATGTGGAGAAAAATAAAAACAATCTGCTTTGTGACTCGTGGAAAATATTCTGCTGCCAACTCTCCTCTCACTGCTCGGCTTTTACAGTTTGCATCGTTTATTTGTATTTTAAAGTGAGCAATTAGCACTGCAGCCAAAGTCGGAATGTTTTTAAGTGGAGTTCTGTAAAAAGGGTATGAACAATTAGGGTTAAGTTTAGTAAAAAGACGCTTGTTTAACCAGTTTGTAAGGTTTGAGTTTTTTAAGATGCAGTGACTTTGATCTTGGATTAACTGTCGGCATTTCTATAAAGTCAGAATTAAACTCTGTTTCTCCTTATTGTGGTATAGAGCAATTTACAGCAGGTAAGATATTTATAACCTAACCAAACTTGAAAAAAAATCTTAACTACTCATGTAAATACAAATCAAACAAGTCCAATTTAACAAATGAGTAAAAGTGGGGGATCTACAATAGCTAAGGGGGAAATACAGAACACTTTGCATGTATTCATATCCATTGCAGGAAGTAAGGGACTACATTTGACAACTGAGCTGCCACAGACATATGTGATCCTCCCATGTCCCAGTTGTCCCTCGGAAAAAAATAAAAAAAAAGGTTGCACATGCAGTTCTTAGGGGAAATCACATCCCGTACACCGAAACCCCGTGAAAAAGAAACTCATGATGAAAACGGATCTCCTGCAATCTGGCTGGATTGTAAGGACTGAATTGTGGCACCGACCTTTTGTGTTACCATTCTAAACAAAAATCACTATACAGAACTTCATGTGCTGAAACTTGAATGTCTTTGCTTGGAGCTCTGATGTGACTCAGCAATTTTGACTCATGTCAGTACGTTATGTCACTGCTCAGAGCTTTGACTTATAACTTTTCTACTTCTGTTAGAGAAATTTATTGTGGTTCTATCAAAATAACTTACGATATAACATTAATATTGTCATATACAACTATAAGGGACAGCATAAATACTTTGAAACAAAGACAAAAAGTCCCCACATGCACCTATAGAAACACCTTCCTGGAAACCAATACCTTTCTGAAGTATAAGGAAAAATAGGCATGGGAACATTGTATCTGACGTCAAAGACAGAGAACGTCAGCGTTTTGCAGGGAATGTGTTTCAATTGTTTTACTCAGAGGGAACCAGTGTTCAGAAATCCCACTGGGTTGCTCTTCTCATGAGGGAAGCATCAGGACCATACTTAAGTGTGGACAAGCAGAAGAACAGGAAATAGCATGACTTTTGACATCAAGAACAGCACATTTACACAACATTAACAGAACAGTGTGCACGTTTCAGCAAACCTCTGCAAGGCACAGTGTAAACCAAAAATTATATATGTTTAGGCAGTTTTTATGAAAAGTAGTAAAGCATACCATTAAATGCAATCTCATGAGAGGTCTCGCAAGATAATTTAGCCCTCAAAGTCAATGTTGAGAATGGCTCTCAGCTACTACCGCACCAAAATAAAACCCAACAGCTGTAAAATTAACTGGATTAGAGCCATTTTTGTGTTTTCTGAAGTAGTTAAGCTGTAGTGTCTATCTTGAACGGGGATGACTCTACTAAAAATGTACATCAAATAATCGTTTCTAAGAGCTTTAATAAAACTCATCTAGTAGTTCATCAGATATTTTGCTAACACAACAAACACAAGACATGGGCAAAAACATCAATCCATTAGCTTTTGATGGTTGGTCATATTGAAAATTGGTTTAGATGTTTTAGATATAAATTACATCATGAGAGCCAAAATAAATCTATCCTAACTTGGTGCAGAGCATGTAATCTGTGACCTATTATAAAGTACCAGTAATAATATTTAAACTCTATTGAGGAGAGAAAACACAATCCCACTACATCCAATCAGAAATCATCAAAAAGTAGATGTGGCTGTTCAAAAAGAAGACTAAGGTTTTATTTTTTTGTATTCAATTGATGTCTTGCTTCAAGTAATCAGTACGATCGGCTGTTTTCATTTCTATTGAACCAAACTAAATCAAAACTAAATTCAGAACTTGGGAGTGTCATTGTTTATTCTGTAGAGACATTTGCTTACATGATACAGACTATCTTGATACAGTACATGTATTGGTTAAGTTGTAATTGTTGCGCTGTGGTCAGGTGTGTTTGAATTAAACAAATTGTGAGTTTGCATAGGAAAGCAGCTGAAGCACCGAAGAAGGTTGGTCAGGTTAATTCAGGAAAACAACAGACTGTTCTTAGTAACTTACTGTATTGTAAAAAAAAAAAGTGTGAATTCACTCCTTTCTTTAAATTTTTCTTCCAAGGATTCAGATGTTCTTGTAATCTTTTAAAAATACCTTAATCAGCAGTTTTTCAGGTTTTTTCAAGACCTATGAAAAGTTTTATTTAGATTTTGGATTTTTGTTTTGCCTTCTTTTTCTTATGCCCTGTCCAGGACCTTCACTTTCTCACAAACACTATTTTTCAATAACATTAATCTTTCTCATAAAATACAGGAAGCAACACAGTTTTCTAAACATAAAGTAGCATTTTAGCAACAACAAGAGTGATATACAATAAAACTTGACATGCAGTAGATCTGAAGTATGAAACTCTGATTCTCAGGGGACAACCATCCTGCACGTTTTAAGTTTTTACCTGCGTCAACACCTGATTTAAATTAATTTGTCAATAAAAGGATTTTAAAGATGTTTGACATGATCAGACCTTTAAAGCACTTTAAATACAAACTTTTAAGAAAATTAGAAAAAGTATTTTTACTAAAAGCAAAGAATAAAGAAATAAGTGGTAATTAATTTCTTTGTACTGGGCTGTTTCTTCCAAAATACAATTACGTAAAAAAGAAAAATAATTTACTTTAGTTTATAATTGAAAATATACTCAATCATTTTGGCCTCTTTAGGATTAAAACTTCAGTTTTGTGGCAGGTAGCAGCTAAACATGATGTT